GGGGGGGAGACCCCCTGCCGCTACAGCTGGTTCACACAGGATGTTCTAGGAGTGAAATTCATCGAGCTGCAAGCTTATTTGAGCACTTTTATGTATGTATATTGTACTTTAATAAGACGTCTAAAAAAGCAAACAGGGTCTGAATTGCACTTAATCTCAAAGTTCTAGGTTTTGAGACTGTTTGACAATTTGAAAACACTACATTAATATGGGTCATTGGAATTCCTTAAGAGTTTGTGTATTTTTCTTCCAATGAAATTTAAATACATTAATTTGTTCACTTATTGGTGGAACAAAAAGTAAAAAAGGTAAACAGAAAATCTGGTCACACATCCTTCCCCTACCCCCATCCAAGCCTTCACAGGTCATTATTTTTAGATTTTTTTTTTTCCTCTCTACTATTTAGATTTATGATTGTCACTGATGCCACAGAATAGACAAAAGGATTTTTAAAAATAATATTACTGGCTGGGATATCAGCCATTTTCAAGGAAAATCTGGGCTGATTTCATGTGAGATCAAGGAACCATTACATCGTAAGCATTCAGTGAGTCTCCAGCCATGCTCCCCCCACCTTGGCCTGGAACTACCTAGAGGGATCTCTGCCTCCTGATTTCCTGGCCCCACTCCACTTGCACTTATCCTGTGCTCACTTCCTTGCACTAGAAAATTCCCAGTGTTCCACAGGACATTGCACTTAATGCTGTTTCTCCACGGTGAAGTCTCCAACTCCCCCACATCAGCCACCTGTACCCCTTGCCCCAGGAAGCAAGCGTGTTGATGCAATGCCCTTCACCTTGTCTTGTCTGTCCAGGGCACAGCCCTCTTGGATGAGCGCTGCGATGACTTCAGTATTCCCCACCACCGTGGCCCGGTGCAAGGCGGTCTGGTCCCCCTGCAAAGTGACACAGAGGCACGACAGAGGTTACCTCTTCCCAGTACCCCCATACCGTCTCTTCTCCACTCAGACCCAAGGACGTCTCTTGTCCCCACATAGAGCAGAAGAGCTTGGTTATCGCGGGGTTGGCGGACTCGTTAGTAGACAATGCAAGCTGGCAGAGCAATTTTCCTCAGGGACTTAAAGGGAACCTTATGCCAACAGCAAGCATAGCCCTTGGGCACAGGCCAACCTCTGAATGAGACCAGACTCTCCCCTGCCACCTGTGGGAAGTGACAAACGTGGGCACAGAGTGGGTCTGAAGCCCGGACTGTGTGAGCTATTGCGATTAAACCACTAATGCCTGGAATCTTTACTACCGACTGAGTCCAAGTTCCTGGCTTGCAGAAGAATCACCGCCTGGCTCTGTCAGTTAGCAGCACTAGTGATCTGATGGTGACAGGTGTGTAATTTGTTCATTGACTTGTACAGGCCATGGGCCATGCTAGGGTTTGCTCTGTTTCATCTGAGGAGTTGAGGAACTACAGCCTACCACTACATATTTCTAGGAGCCTTTTCTGATATTTCCTGACAACATCCTCACTGATTTATGCTGCATTTTGACTCCTTTTCTCTGTGATCAGATTCCTGGGATTTCCAACTCTATATCTCCTTCAGGCGCCAAAGGGAGCTTAACTCTTGCCCCCAGTGGCAGTTGAGAGAAAGATGAAGTACTCCGAGGTCTAAGAGGTCAAGTCTGTAACAAGAGAGCTGTGAAGTCTTTAAGAACATGTTTTATCTCTGATGTGCACTCAGGAAGTGAAGTCAAGGCAAATCAAATCAAGCGTGTGGGCCAGGCTTGAAAGGGGAGAGGAGTGAACACTGTGGGAATTTTCTAGTGTAACAAAGCGAGCCCAGGACAAGTGGTGAGGAGGCCTGGGCTGCGCACAGCCTTGGAAAAGACCTGTCCCATTTCTGGGCCTCAGATTCTACAAATATAACGGGGGGGGGGGGGTGGAGCTGTTTCCCCCCTGCCTTCCTCCCTGTGAGGACACATTGTTGACTCCTTCTGCTAGTGAAGATGGAGCAAGAAGGCCCTTATGAGACACTGAATGCGGACACCTTGATCTTGTACTTCCCAGTTTCCAGAACTATGAAACGATGAGGAAGGCACTACAAATGCACTAGCCGGGTCTAACGATAAAACTAAGAAGGGCTGGAAGAAGCCACACTGAACTCGGGGAACAAGGGTGTGGCACTCTGCTGGGCTTCTGGGCCTCCCCACCTTCTCCTCCCCTGGAGATGGAATGTGGTGAAATAGACCTCCATTTTGAACTCCTCTCTATATTAGAAACCTGCTTTCTCCTTTTCCCTAGAGTGGTTAACAGTCCTACTGTCATTGCTAAATAACCCAAAACTCCCTACCCTAAGATGTTCCTTAGTGATGTAATTGTCTGTCCCAGATCCCTTGCCCTGAGCCATGGAGACCATTAAGATTCCATGTGTTTAAGGAGCATGGAACATACCCTTAGGAATGATGAACCTGGTTGTTTTGCTTCTGTAATTTGCTTTTGCTTTTACATTGTAAAACCCTACCCCCTACCCTTTCAAGCCTACTGCTCTTAGCTCTTGTCATTGCCATGTCAACCTGGAAAAGAGCATGAATTTTGCCTTTATAGCACTGGGGGCTGTGGGGTTTTGAAAGACATGAGTCGATCTCCCTACCCCGTATGTCACTGGCTTAATCAATAAACTCCAATAAATTTGACTATGTTTGAGTAGACCAACAGTGGGACTACCCTCACAGATAGACTCGAGGGGCTGCAGGTGCATAGACCACACTGAGAAGTAGCAGGGCTTTCCAAACAGCCTCACAGTGAACTCACAGGACAGTGTTTCTCAACCCTGACTGCACTTCGGAGTGTTTCAAGCTTTCTAATCCCCAGATGCAGCCCATATTAATCAGTCAGTATCAGCATCACTCAGAGGGAGGGAGACCCTGGCTCTCCCGTGAAGCTGAAGTTAAGAACTCCTGCGGTGTGGGCTAGACAGTACTGCCCTTATCTTATGGCAGAAAAACTGAAGCTTAGAGAGCACATTACCTTGCCTAAGCCCTGCATGCAGTCACTGATGGAGGCAGATTTTGAGCCCTGGGCTTAAAATAGTCTGCCTGGTCCCAGACGATTCTCTTGGCCACTGCTCTCTGTGACCCCTAATAGAGATGACACTAGCTCACCATCTATTGTTATTAACTGAGAAAAGCAGATTTGCTCATGAGAAACAATTAGAAAGCAGTCCGAGCCCCTGGATAGTCCAGCACCAAGACTGTCTGTTTTATGGCTCTTTAGTAAGAGGAAGGTAGAAGGTTCTCCCTGTGGCTGACAACTCCAGCACCCTGGAACCCAGCACACAGCCCTGGAACTGACTACGCCTCACTGGGTCCCTGGATTTCTTATAAGCTCTGCCAAAAAAAAAAAAAAAAAAAAAGAGGGATGGATGATTAGATGATCCTCAAGTTCCCTCCCTTCTCTCCTTAGAGTTTTGTGCAAATGAAGTTTTCTTGTAGAGACTAGAGGGGCAAAGGTCACATGCCAGAGCATCCCTGATTCTTAGCCAGAGAGAAGAAAAAGAGACTATTAGAAGACAGAAAACAGAGTCATCATTGTTTTTAAAGGGGATACACTGCTGCCTACGTACAACCTTAATGAAATGCCAATTCTGCTCACTAAACTCTGCAACAAGCAACAATGCACATTAGAAGTATTAGCCCTACGGGCCAGCAGGTGGCATGGTGGTTGAGGTGCTGGACTTCCACATGACTGACCATCGGAGTCCTGGAACTGGTGGCTTGCTTTCTCATTTTCTCTCTCTCTCTCATCTGTCTCTGGTGAATGTATGTGCCCTATAGCACAAAGGAAAAAAAAAAAAAGTAGTAGTAGTAAATAATAATAAATAAAATTAAATAATTCTTAAAAAACAATTTAAAAAGTATTAACCTCAAAGCAAGTTCTAGATATGGATGGCAGTGATGGTTAAAGGACAAAGTGTACTTCATGCCACTGGGCTGTGCACTTAAAAATAATTAAGATAGGGGGCTAGCAGGTGGTAGGTGGTTAAGGGTACTGTATTCCCACATGGCAGACTGCAGTTTGAGTCCTGGACCTGGTGGCTTGCTTTCTTATTCTCACCCTTCACCCCTCATGCTTTATCACTCTGTTAAAATTTAAATAAATAAAGTTTAAAAAATGATTAAGATAGTACATTTCAGGTTAAGTGTATTTTTATTTATTTATTTATTTTGGAGAGGTTTTCACTATAGGGCACGTGCGCTCGCCAGACATACAGAGAGAGACAGAGACATAGAAAGCGAGAAATCACTCCCCAGGGGAATGGCCATGCTGCAATTCCTCCTCCTCCATTCTCCTCTCGGGATCTTGGGCATGCACGCACACGCGCCCGGCATGAGTTTTAAGCCACTGGGTCCAGGACGTGAACCGCGGTCGACTACGTGGGAGTCCAGCGACATAGTCATTACGCTAACTGCTGGTCCCAGGTTAAGTGTATTTTGTCCCAATTTAAAAAAAAAAAAAAAAAAAAGAAAAAGGGAACCACACCACCCACAGTCCAGTTACTGCCATGGTGTTACTCTTCAGACTTTTAATAGATAGCAGGTTTTTCCTGACACCGAGAGTTATATGTGTTAAATGTAATAAGTTACAAAATATTAAAAAGCCTAAGTAAGGGGCCAGCATTTGGTGTGGCGATTAAGGGACTGGATTCCCAGATGGCTGACTGAGTTTGAGTCCTGGACCTGGTGGCTTGAAAATCATGTTGAGCGTGTATGTGCCTAAGGAAGAAAGTTACTTCCCTTCATGGATTTTTACAGGGATACTTTTTCTTTTTCTAGGCTTTTGTTTAGTTTCTTTCTTTCCTCCATGAGTGTGAGAGACAGAAAGAAGTAGAGAGACAGAGACAGACTGGCAAGAGGTACTCCCAGCAGTGTCCTCATGCTACCATTCACCCCAGCTTGAGCCAGCCCCAGACCATGGGCATGCATGTGCTTGGTGTGTTCAAGGAGACCTCCGACATGAGCCCAGAACCTTCTCATGTGGGTCGGCCTCAGCATTTGCATAACCCACTCCTTCTCCACTACCACAGCTGCATCCACTGTGCTCAGCATCGCCCTCGCCTTCTCCCCCTCGGCACCCTCAGCTATCTTCCCACTTGCCATCAGGCTTAGACTGGCTTTCTGCTCAGCCACCTTCCTACACCCCTATTCGAAGACGACCCTTTCCATGTGCCTCTCTGTGGCGGGGACCACGACCATGGCTCAGCGCTCGCAGGAAGGGCTCTGTGCCATCGCGTGACCCATTCCACACCTTGTAGGAAGTATTTCCAGATGAGATGGAGGACGGATGCCCAAACGAGAAATCACACGACAGAATGTCCAAGACATTTTACAGTTTCCACGAGGATTTTCAGGTCTTATTTCCCTCTCATAATGACGATGAGTTTCCCCCAGATGAGCCTCAACTACAATTTATTATTACTTTCAAGTGGTGAAAGATGGCCCTCTGTTTGTAATAAGAACTATGAAATTGTGGCACCCTCTTTCAGGGTGGTACTGACTTGCTTAGATTTCCAAGTAGAGGCCTTCTGCTATTCCCACAAACTGCAGGCCCCCTAACCAGCACTCCCTGGGTCAGTCAGAACAGTCTTGTTACATAACAAAACTTATCACTGTCTTTACTGTGCAGAAAGTGAGAACCAGCTCTGAGCATTGGGTTGCCTCAGCCCCCTCTGCTACAGGAACTCTCACACCAAGGGCCTTCACCGGTTAGGAACCATCTACCCCGAGCCTTGGCTTAGGTCAAATGTTTGATCATGTTTCACGAGCTGCCCACTAAGCCATGAGCTGAGGCAGCTGTGGAACCAGCACAGGATTCATTACGCGCTTTCATCAACGATCTACTGTACATTGTTTCCTCTAAGGTAGCGCTGCCTGGTGAAACTCCAGC